ACAATGGTCCTCCTTATGCCCCTCTCATGAAGAGGACATCATCTGCTAGGTGTAGAAAAGCATTTTGGGTTTCAGTATCATCCATGTTGAAAAGCAACTTCATTATTTACTGGTTGGTATCACTCTGCTATCTGCACCACATACGCACAGGATTTTTTAATTCTCTAATTCTGTAGATTGGTGTTGCATAGACATCCTCATACTGTATTATGCATGCAGTTCCTGGCCTTTTGAATGAAGACAAACTTGCTTTAAAAAGTATTTCAGAGGAAATGTTTCATTTGTATTCTTTTCTATGTTTGACAATGTTTCTATTCTTTTGCCCTAGGAAAAATAGAAACTTACTTCTTGGGAAACAGAATTGGGGAGGGCAGCTTTCTCCTGAACTTTTCCAGGTCCCCCCTCTCCCCCCAGCCCTTACATTATTAATCCTACCTCTGCTTCTTATAGCCCAGATCTGTCAGATTAGTGTTCCTTTTGTGCTCATAACTTGGAAACGGATCTTTGTCAGATGCTTCTACCGAAAGAGAATGTCCAGTAGCCCCAATGGTTTGATGCACACTCCCACTGCCACAGAAACCCATCTACACCGCCCTGCCCTGATTGGGCCAGACCTCCACCCCCTTACAGAGGAAAACGACTTATTTTCTTTGCCAACTGATCATGTGAACAGCATGACAATCTCCTCACAGCTTCCAACTATGTTATTTCAGTGAGTTGGGCCAGGGTCACGTGAGTCCTTCCCTTTTACACAGAACCCTCTGAAGAGCATTGAAAGGATGCTTTCCTTGGGATGTCTACCCATGTTTCTTTTTTCACAGTCGCCTTCTGGTCAACTGATCTTGCAAGTAACTGAAGGACAAAAAATCCCCAATGAAATCTCTTCAATAAAACCAAAATGGACATTCTACGGCCCATCAATAGTAGTCCCTCTTTCAAATGGCTTTCAACTTTCTGGGATGGTGGTGGAAACAGTCTCCCACCTGCTGCCATAGGCTCAAATCCTTATTGGAAAGCCCTGGGCAGCCTGACGCATTTCACATAGTTGTTGTTGGTACAGGATAAGCCACTAGAAAGAAAACACGACAGCAGCCATGCTCAAGCTTCTGAGCTTCATTAGAGGCAATACGGAAATTGCCATCTTTGTTAATGGGTTTTCTTGGCATACACACGTTAAAGGCCTTGGTGGTGGCCCATGGTATCCCACCTTACTCTCTCTCCATCTGATTCCATTATCATTTTCACTTTCCTCTGTTGACGCTGCCTTCTTCCCATTACTTCATTTTTCATAGGAGTGAGGCACACTTATCCGTTGCAGCAAAAACAAGGAATCTCATTGCACCTTAAAGCTGGACATTATCAGTCTGATAGTCTTCAGATAATACATGCCTATTTGTTGCTATTATTGCGTGCCTTTAATATAGATCCCAAGCACCTTATCTGCATATGGCAAGGGACCCCAAACTAAACAGATGATTGGACACACACAGGTAAATGTAAAAGGAGAGAGAGAGAAGGAGGGATATGTGGAATTCACTCCTACTCTTTAATATGTTTTCTTGATTCATGCAGGGGAAGCTGTGTGTGATGCTAATCTTCACTGCCATCCAGATTGAGAATGCTTTTTCAATTCTCCGGTCCAACTCGTTAAGAATCCAAGCAGCTCATAATATAAATTAGGATTTAACATTGTATGTACGTTGGCTGCTGGTGTTTCATCAGTGCCGTCTGTATCCCAAGGGACCTGCAGAACAAGAAATCTCACAAGACTCCTTACACATTCATGGCAATTGCTGGATGACTTCAGCCCTACACAGTAGCAGGTCTGCCTGTGTGGAATGGTTGTCACAGCTCACAAGTGTGGCATCCCTACCACCTGTGAGCACCTCAGAAAACAGTGTAATTCTGGTCTTGGAGTATGTTAGCACATTTAAATTGCCAGCTGGGTAATGTGATTTTGTTGTAACAGAAAAGAGGTATATGTGATGAAATGTGCACCCTGGCAAATGTCCCTTTTCCATTCACATCACAAAGTGATTTCAGACTTGTGTGGTGCAATTCAAATGTGAGGCAGAGGTTCCTTGGTTCAAATCCCACCCTGACTACAAGCTCACTCACTTGTTTTAAGGAATACAGTCATGGCAAAAAATATTGGCACCCTTGCAATTCTGTCAGAAAATGCAACCCTTCTCTCAGAAAATTGTTGCAGTTGCAAATGTATTGGTACTCACATGTTCATTTATTTGGTTTGTGTTGGAACAACACAAAAAACAGAGAAGAAAAGGCAAATCTGATACAAGCCCACATAGAAACCCAAAAATTCACTGGCTAAAATTAGGGGCACCCTTAGCTTAATATTTGGTCACACCCCCTTTGGAAAAAATAAGTGAAATCAATCACTTCCTGTAACCATGAATGAGTTTCTTACAACTCTCTACTGGAATTTTGGACCACTTTTCTTTTGCAAACTGCTCCAGGGCCTTCAGATTTGAAGAATGCCTTCTCCCAACTGTTGTTTTGAGATCTCTCCAAAAGTGTTCTATGGCAGCGGTCCCCAATCTTTGTCGGTCCACGGACCAGCTGGGGAAGGCAGGGCACCCCCGGCGCTCACACGCATGCATGAACAAGCGCTCTCTCTCTTTTGCATGGGCCCAGGCGTGCTCGTGCCCACACGGAGTGTGGAGTGTGCAGGGGTGAGTGTGTGTGGGGCGGGCAGAAGGTCTGTCTTGGTGGCTCAGTCCAGCTCACTTTTGCATGGGCGCAGGCGTGCTCGTGCCCACACAGAGTGTGGAGTGTGCAGGGGTGAGTGCGTGTGGGGGTGGGCGGAAGGTCTGTCTTGGTGGTTCAGTCCAGCTCAGATCACGGACTGGCACTGGGCTGCGGACCCGGGGTTGGGGACCTCTGTTCTATGGGAGTCAGTTCTGGACTCATTGCTGGCCATTTCAGAACTCTCCGGTGCTTTGTTTGTAACCATTTCTGAGTGCTTTTTGAAGTGTGTTTCGGGTCATTGTCCTGTTGGAAGACCCATGACCTCTGGTGGAGATGCAGCTTTCTGACACTGGCCACTACATCACGCCCCAAAATTCTTTAACAATCATCAGATTTCATGATACCAGTCACTCACACAGTCAAGGCATCCAGTGCCAGAAGCAGCAAAACAACCCCAAAACATCTTTGAACCTCCACCATGTTTGACTGTAGGGACTGTGTTCTTTCCTTTGAATGCCTCATTTCTTTTTCTGTAAACAGTGTCATGATGTCCTTGACCAAAAAGCTCTACTTTTGTCTCATCTGTTCACAGTACGTTCTTCCAGAAGGATTGTGGTTATGTCACATACATTTTGACATACTCCAGTCTTGATTTTTTTTTTTACGCCTCTGTGTCAGCAGTGGTGTCCTCCTGGGTCTCCTACCGTAGCGTCCCTTTTCATTCAGATGGCGACAGATAGTGCAAGTTGACATTGTTCTACCGTGTGTCTGCAGATCAGCTTGAATTTGTTTGGAAGTTAATCTAGGTTCTGTATCCACCATTCAAACAACCCTTCATTGTAATTTTTCAATAATTTTGCTCTTCCATCTACGTGCAGGGAACTTAGCTACAGTGCCATGGGCTGTAAACCTCTTGATGATATTGTGCACAGTGGACACAGGAACATTAAGATCTCTGGCGATGGACTTGTAGCCTTGAGATTGTCAATGTTTTCCCACATTTCTTTCACTCAAATCCACAGACAACTCTTTACACTTCATTCTTTTCTCCATGCTCAGTGTCACACACAACACAAGGGTTGAGTCAACTTTTCTTCATCTTAACTGGTTGCAAGTGTGATTACAAACCTACGAAATGAACATGTGAGCACCACAACATTTGCAACTGCAACAATTTTCTGAGAGAAGTGTTGAATTTTCTGACAGAATTGCAAGGGTGCCAGGATACTGCATTAAATGATAAATTAACTACTGAACTTAAGATGGAAAGAGGGGAAATAAGTTCAAATATCTTTTATGCTACTTGGGGTAGATTTGTTGAATTTGTATTAGTGAAAGGAAAGGGGATATTGTCACCTCTGGGTCCAGAACTGATGGCCATTAACTTTTTAGAAGTGTTTTGTAAAATTGCGAAGATTACTTAGTACCTCAAGATGCATTTGTATATGATGTATGGAATGTCTTCCTGATGTTAGATGTGCTTCACATACATTCTCAGGTATTTATCAGCACAGGTCATACCATCTCTTTGAAACTCCCTCCCCAGGGAAGTTTGGCACTCCCATCCACCCTTTATTAGAAGTATTCAAAATGTATGGGGCTTTTTGCCCATAAAACATTGGGAAAGTACCACAACTTCTTTTTAATTGAATTACTTATTTTCTTGCTGCTTTATAGCTATTTAAAGTTGTGGGTTTTAATCATTGGTTAAGTTGTAGTTACTTATTGCAATGCTATACTTGAGTATTTTTTTCTTAGGCTGGAACGGCTTAATCGGTTTTCAGTGTATTCCTATGGGAAATGGTACTTCAATTTACGAACATTTCAAGTTATGGACACTGTTCCAATATGGATTAAGTTCGTAACTCGAGGTACCACTATAATACAATAATAATTGCATAATCACCATTCCACAAACCATGTTACGAAGGAGACTGAGTTTCTAGTGCCCATGTACTTCTCAGATAACAGGTAGTGTGTATGGGCCATGAAGAATTCCCAACTAGTGTACAATGCCACCACTTGGAATTTTCAGTGTTCATTCAATGATGCAAATGCTAAAGGTCAACCAACTTTCACATGTCTGTCACATGCTTGGACATCTCTAAGTCATGCGATCAGTTGTGCACTCAGGCGTATGACTGGATGCCCAGAAAAATGTGAAAGCCATTTCTATGATTGCCCTTATTGTACACAGTATTTTGCAATAAGGTTATGGCCAAAGAGTACTGAACTACAAATCTCAACTATTACTACTACTAGGTTACTACTTCAAGACAATACATTCAGGATTTAATCATTTTTTTATTTTTCAGTTTTAGAATACATTTAAAGATAAATGTAAACCCCCCACCCCCCAGGAACAAATATCCTTCAAAACAGGATTTGACTCCCCAACTCCCTACTTTCCAAAAATTGTGACATGATGAAATAAATACCAAACCCTCCTATGTTGAGAAGGGTGTACAGATTGATCTTTACTCCTGGCTATCCTGTGCTCTCACACCGGACACAATAACTGCACAGGAGGGGCAGTATCATGCAGACACCCAGAGACGAGGGCACAGGTAGGATTGGACTGAGAACTGGACTTGGACTGGAGCAAAGTGCTCTGGAAAGGGGCTGGGATCCCTGATGACTAGATTTCCCTAACCACTACCCAGCCAACCTAGATCAAAGAGAGATATGGAAAGATCTGGGGAAACTGATGGGGCTAGAACCACTACCACCTCACTTGGCATCCAACTGGGAGAGTGAAATAGATCCCAGTCTCAAGAGATCTCAAAATCTGGAGGGAAAAGGAGAGAGATGTGAACAGTCAATTCACAAATAATGCAACACAGTTAAAGTCAGGCTAATATGAACACACTCCCACTGCCCCCTCCCCCCTCCCCCCCCAATCCCTAGGAGGTATGAGTTGAGGGATGTTGGCTGAACGGTGGCTCAAAGGAGACCACAAACAGCAGCCAGAAAGGAGCTGAGGGGAATGAAAGCAACCTCTGGGTTTATACAGAGGTTCTCTCCTCCTGTCTGAGGGGCACTGTATGCCAGGTTGCAGCCTCTGCTGGGCAGAGCCCATTCTTTCCCCCTTTCTTTCTTTCTTTCTCTGCCTGGTGTTCCTTCTCTCCTATCTGCGGCATCTCACACGCCCAATCTCGGCACCTGCCATGGCAAGTCAGAAAATGCAGACCGTCTCCCACGGGGGCCTACTCCTCACTCTCCAGTTTGAGGCTGACGCTGCGTGCTTTGGCTCGGGGCTGAGCACTCCCTGTTCCTTCTCGCTCAGCCTGGCTCTGTCCCCGTGAGCGCAACAGCTGACTCTGCTTGCGCAGGAAGTCCACAGGAGCAGGGCAGCCGTAGCTGCCTTTGCCCAGTGTGGGTCTTGTTGTCCCCTTTGGTGAATGGGCAAGGGAGGCTGCTTCCAGCTGTGCCAGATGTGCCACATAACCGTCTGACAGGAACTGCAGGAGAAAAGAGATTAAGGAAGCTGACATTTGCTCTGTTCATCATGCTCCCCCATGTCACTTCTTGAGGAGCCCACAGACTGCATGATTCTCTGTCACACTGTAGCCTCCATAAACCTCATGTGGTTTATGACCACAGCTGAACTGAAGGCTTTTCTATAAAATAAAGTCCATACCTGGCACTGGTTTTGTAGTTTTTTCACAGCCCGGCCCACAATGTAGATTTGAGATGGGGGGAGCCCTAAGGAGCTGTAGACCGAGATATCCTTGGTGGAACCATAGCCAGCCACAATGGTGACCTCTGCCTGCAACAAATTAAGACAACAGTTATCTTCACGCTGTGTTTTCCTCCCCTTTCTGTTGTGGTAAGCTTCAGCTGCTCCCAGTTGTACCCCTGCTTGTGCCAGAGTTGCCCTCCTACAGCACCTCCCCCTACTGTGCTTCACAAGCAAACACTACCTCAGCCTCCTGCAGGTGCTCACATACCTCCTGCTGAAGACCTTGGAGAAAGGCAGCTTTCTGGCGGAGGGGGTCGTGTGTGAGGCCATCACAGAATGAGACAATGCCATGAGGAAAGTTGTGCTGGGTAAGCCAGGCCACCACACGATGCTTCTGCATGTCTGGGCGGCCAGTCACGTAGATGATCATGAAACCAGAATCTTGCCAATGCCTAAAGAAAAGAGTCTTTATGGACATTGGATTGCTTAGGCTGCCATCTCTTGAGGAGGACTGGAAAATGTGCAGTACACCGGATGTTACTGGACTGTATTTCCCAGCAGCCCTAGCTAACAGAGTCAATGTTGACTTCCTTATCCCTGTTGTAGACTGTAAAGGCTGTAGCAAGATGGTTGGACTGGGCAAGATGGTAACAAATTAACTGTAGGTCACCAAGAACATAAGGCCTTTTTATAACATTGAGGTAGTACTTTTGTTACACCCCCAAGGAACAACTGTGTTAGGTCATAAGGCAAAGGATTTGTTTATTTATCAACCTACAACAGTGTTCATGCGAAGCAAGGAAGTCAGTCAGTCAGTCAGTCAGTGAGTCAATCAGTCAATCAATCAATGCAGATGCCTTCATGAAGCTCAAAAAGAGGACATGAAAGTGAAGGGCCTGTGCTGTATCTTTCTCAAAGGAGAGTGGGCTCTGAACAAGGAAGCCCCACTTTGCTACTCTGGTCATAAACACCTATTGAAAAGTGTATCTTTTCATACAGAGTTGGTTTGAACAACAGAATGAAGCAGTATTCTGTAGCAAATGCATTTATTGCAGTCTCATTCGGACACTCAATTTTCAGCTATGAGAATTTTAAACCAAAACCCAGAAAAGTTACTTCCTTGTGCCAGAATTCTTAGTTCTGCTGGCTGCAGGATTCTGGCCCCTTAAAACCAAAATAGTAACACTTCTGGCCTAGAGAAAGAGACAGAGGCCTTCTAACTCTGCTTTTCATAAAAATAAAAAAAAACAGAACTTACAAAGCTATGTTAAGCACATGTGACTCTCAGAAGAAAATCCAGTTAATTTAACAAAAGCTTATTCCAATAAATCCATTTTCATAGCACCTTGGCATTGAAAAAATAGAAACTGGTAGACTTAATATAAGAAGTGCAAAGGAGAACAACAGAGCTGTTTCTCTAATTGGTGTTTTAAGGTATCTTTTTATTACTGATATGAAGAGCTAAGGTGTTTAAAAATTTAACCCTTTTAAAAAGAAATTAGGCAAACTAAAATAGAATGCTAGAGTGTATGTTTCAGTAAGCTTGATTTTTAATTACTCTGGGTTTTCATATTACCAGGATAAGTACCTCAATGCTCTTTAAAATGAGGGATAGGGGGATTTTGCAGAAATGAAGAAACCTAGCAGAGACGTTCTTGTGGGATTATCAGAACTATTTATTTATTTATTTATTAGACTTCTACCCCGCTCATCTAGACCAAAGGTCTATTCCAGGCATACACTCTGAAGCCCTTAGTGGAAAGAAAGAACCAGCCAGAAAAATAAACAGGGCTCCCTGCAAAGATCGACTACACACCTTACGACATCAACTGCACCAGCGCGCACCTTCGGATCACTGCCCATAATGGAAACACTGGCTGTGAAGGAGCCATCAATACTGAAGACGACACAAGGAGTGGTCTTGGCTACCACAGTTAGAAAGCACTCAGCATAGGTGTGATCCCCCCTGCAAGCAGATGTAAAATGGGGTCAGCCTACCCACAGCTATGGTCAGCATTATTCCTACACATCTGAGAATCATCTGTGCTTTAGGCTTCTGGTACCAAGTGAATAGTGCAACAAGCCAAGCTGGACTGAGATGAGAATATCCAGCTCAGAGCAGGCTGCTCAAGAGGTCAGCTACACGGGGGCGGGGGGGGGCAGGGAACAATGTGTTCTCACCTTACTACCATGCGGACAGGATACATGCCGATGCCCAGCATCTTATCCTCAGGGAGGGTGTAGGAAAGCCTTCCACTGCCACTTGTCACCTCTGTGCCATAGTGTACCCATTTTCCCGACAGTGGCTGTGCCATGATGTAGATATCAACCTGTGAGAAGACATCAGAGGCAGTTGCATCATTTAGTCCAGTGGTTCTTAACCTTGAGTTACTCAGGTGTTTTTGAACTGCAACTCCCAGAAACCCCAGCCAGCGCAGCTGGTGGTGAAGGCTTCTGGGAGTTGCAGTCCAAAAACACCTGAGTAACCCAAGGTTAAGAACCACTGATTTAGTCCACTGCACATGTTCTCTCCTACTGCACTGCCTGCCCTCAAAACTCAGCTGACCTCTTAGAACTGTCCAGTCACACTCAGCGCTAGAACTGCGGGGAAGGCGGCACAATTTTGCCCTTAATTCCAAACTCCCTTTACTCCCATGTTTTGTTCATATCTACGTATATCCATCTTCTGTTTTGCTTACATGCAAAGGCAAGAATCCTCTTGGATTCAAAGGTTAAACGGGGCAAGCCCACAGAGGGCGTGTACACTACCTTGTGGACTGTCCGTGTTGTGTTCATTAGCACTCTGATTCCACAACTGATCAGGCAATGAATGGGTGGGTGGCAAAATGCAAAAAGCGCTTGTGCAGTTGCCCTTCTGCACACGGCATTTCAGCCTCTTTTTCTATTAACCTTTCTAATACCTCCTCATCACCTGTGAGAAGTTTCTGTTCCTTGCCTCTACAATTTGGAATTTGGCTCAATGATTTTATCTTTGCTCTTATAACCTAAGATCTGTTTCTCCTCTACAATTTGTATCTCCATGGCCTACTTTCTATTTTTAACCCCCTCTGCCAGTTTTTGGAATTCTGTCTCTAGGCTATTAGTGGTGTTCTCAGCATAATTCCAAAGTAAGCTGGTAAAATGGGAAGATGTCTATGGGGCAAGAGGGTCTGAAGAGTAAGTGAGGTTCTCCAATAGCAGGGCTTGCCAATTTCTGTGAGTCCAAGGAGCAATTTCCTCTCTCCTGCAGGGACACAGACAGATAGTAGAAGAGGCTGGAAATCACTTCCAGTTTTGAAGAATCAGTACTGGGGGTTTGAAATGGTGCAGAGGATTGGTTCTTGCCTATTATATGGTGAAATGCTACCCTCAGAAACTTCCAGGAGTGGCAGTTCACAATTTTTTTGCTTGGAGGGAAGAGGGAGACTGAGACAGGGAGAAGACTGGAAAATCAGCCTAGAAACTGCACTTTACTCTCCCCTGTGTGATTGCCTTCAGTGACAACAGTGGAATGCCACAGTCACTAGAATGCAAGATAAGTTCTCACAATTCAAAATCAGCCCTGTGGCCAATGTCCAGACATCTCCTGTGCTCAGCTGGATTCTGTTTACTCCTAAATGCAAGCTACTTGTTCCTGTCCTTCTCATTTACCTCCAAAGAGTCTTTTCTCCCTCTTAGCTTTGGAGGCAACTGTACCTTCAACATAGCTTGCCGAGGAGGTTTTGTTGTCTGAGGCAAAGTACAAGATGGCAGTTCCCCAAGCCCCAGTTCCAACTACAGAGTTAACTATACCGGTAGTTCAAATGTATTTCATCGTCGGAGATGCAAGTGTGTCCTCCATGACACTCAAAGGAAGCAACGTAGTTTAGGTTATGCTGGACAGGCCATGGGGCACACACACAGCTCTACCTTCCAACTCTGGAGGATGGCTCCAAGAGTTCAGGACAAACTGCCAGATGACTGCTTTTACCCACAGAGCTGCCATTTGAGGCAGATGCCTCACAATGCCTAATGGAGGGAAGGATGGCCTTGCCCTCCAAAGCAAAATGTCTTGTCATGAGGACAAGAAGCATCACACTATCAGTCTTAGCACTTTGTCCATTCAAAACTGTGTGCAGTGCTTAAGCATCCATCTGGGACACGGAGACCTCATAGCAAGTAACGCTACTTGCTCCAGCTCATATCTCCCCACTTTTTCATCCGTTTTCAAGTTTTGTGTAGCCAGGCACTTTTTTTTTTACCTTCTCCCCAGTCAAAGTCACCACATCCAAAGGACCGTACATGAAGCGCCCATTGAGAACCTGGGGTCGTCCCTCACACACAATGACATCACTGGCACGGTGGTTTGCTGTGACATTCTGCAAAACAAAACAGCCAGCAGCTTTGAGTCAACTTACCTTAGCAAAGAAAAGAAAAAAACCAGAGGCATTGACGAAAGGCAGCAACGGAACTGGATGGAGGATACAATTGTTCCAACTCCCTCACATGAGGAGGAATAAACTGATAGCTTAAAATATACTTTTGGGACTGAGAGGAGGTAGGATTTCATCATACTTGACGGTTATGTTCCCAGAAATGTATCCTTACACAAATCTGTGGAACTGTTTTTGACAGGAATCATACCTCCTCTTATTTTCCCTGCTTATTTGTCTACTTGACTGCACAGAAGTGGAACTGGAAGTCACTAAATATTACAGGGATTTCTTCTGTTGAAGTTTCCCTTCTGACCAACCATTGCCCGCGTTATACTACTCTACAAAAGATAGCAGTCGTGTACGAGGAAATGAAACCAAGGATACAGGGTATTCAAGTGAAGGATCTTGTCCTCTGGACCAAATGCCAAATCTGCAACCACAGCCTGGGAAAGTTACTTTTCTGGACTAGAATCTCCCAGCTAACATGGCCACCAGCCATGCTGGCTAGGGGATTCTGGTGAGGTTTAGTCCGACAAAGTAAGCTTTCCAAGCTCTGCCTTAAAAATTATCACATCTCCAGAGCCCTGAGGAAAGAGGTTTTGTTTAAATAGCATTTCCATTTAAACATGTTGAATAGTTCACTTCAATAATTAAATTTTTTTATACAACATGGTATGATTTCATTTCAACTACAGGGGCATACACAGTAAAAGGTATTAACATCTTTTCCCAGACTATGAAAAACAGATTAAGACAAAAATTTACTACTACCACTACTACCTTCGGATAGTGTGGGCGGCATATAAGTTAAATAAATAAATAAAAAAGATCTATGTAGGTAATTTGAAAAAGGTCTACCAATTTCCTTTTCATTTCTGCCTCTGGAATAAAAGGGAGAAATATATGACTATGAAGGCACAAACTGGGAAAGTGGCCTCTCCATGCCGAACCTATAGCTTTTGCTCTGAACCCATTTTGTAAACGTAGTGGCGCTCCAATCGGCTTTGTTCACTGAAATAGCAGTACTGATTTTCTATAGCATTCAAACTATTTTTGGCATGCAGTGGAAGGGTAAATAGCAAAAGAGGAAGAGAGACAAGGCCTGGCAGTAAGGTCACTTTTGCAAATATATCCTTAAACTTACATGACATTAAAAAAAAAAATAGGACGCCTGCACAAAAGACAGATCACACTGCCTTGGCCAAAACCAGATAACAGTTCCCCGTGCAAGCATAAAAGAGGTAAGGCGAGGCAGCTGCCACTATAGGGGGACAAAACTGCATACCCGGATCTTCACTTGCGTCCGCTTGCGCTGCCACTTTTCACGGGGAAAGGCTGGACTGTAGATGGAACTCTCCTCATTCTCTGTCACTTGGTGCTGCTCTGTTTCAATCACCTGAGACCACATAACATCAGTGTCAGGCAGAAATGAGGACTGTTCTTGAACTATAGCTCCTTCTGTTGCAAGGCCTATGCAGATGCCCCCTCCTGGGGAGGACAATGTCCTTCCTTTATATACTCTTGTAACTGCAGGAGGCAAGTGGCCATGCTGTGTTTATTAACTGGGGAAATGGAGGAAAGTGCTTTGCACCAGATAAGAGTGATTCTTCAACTAGCCCAGTATTGTCTACGCTCCACAAATTCACCCCTGCTTTTCCTTCCATTAGATATTTTTTAACAGGTATTGGAACCCAGGATCTTCTGCACAGAGAAGCACACACTTTACCACCATTCTGTAGGAACCACTTTTATAAACTCCTGTTTGGTTTTATTTCTCTCGACCAGTAGCACTACGATTGTCCCTCCATTAGCACTCTCCTTTGCCTCCCACAACAAAATCATCCATTAATTCATGCTCTTCGATATGGAGGAAAGAAAACCCTCTAATAAAAAATCTCTATCCTCTCCAGAATGTCTATCGCAGTGGCATTCTCTCATGCAGTTCACCCAACATATATTAGCTGACAGGTGTTCGTGTTGTGCTTTCCTAATAAAACAAAAGATGGCAACCCACAGTATGGCCTGCATTTGCCACCTCCCTTGCCAGTCTTAGATTCTGCCTTCCCACCTATCTCCCCATATACTACCTCTAAATTTGCTGCCACCGAAACAAAGATCCCACAATTTCCCTTTAAAACATGTGTCTTGATTTCAAGCTAAATCATGCTTCCAAAAATTTCCTGCACCCATGATTTGACTTTTTTTTTTAAAAAAAAAGGCATATATTCCCTATTCTCTTTATTTATCTAGGAAAATCACAGGGATTTTTGCTACCACTGCAACAAACCTGAATGCTATCACCATGACAGGGTAGGACAGAGCACAGGGTGGACTGGGAGGTAGAGGTCTGGAAGTTCTCCACGTCTGCACTAAAACATCTCCGCCAATCAAATCCAATGTGCTCTGCTTGAGCTAGATCCCTCTGATGCTGCCACTTTCATCTGCCACAAAACCTCTTTTCAAATACCCACTTCCCTCCGGAGGAGCACCCACAGTTCCTCATTCCCCACTACTGTGACATTTCCCCCTGACATCTGGACTGTTGCAAACTTGATACCTGGCGTAAGATGAAAGCAGCCACATCAGCACTTTCCCAATAGCTGGCATGGAAAAGATGAGGCAAGGTGATGGTGGGAAAAGCTGTCAGTGCCTCAGGGCAATAAAGAGAGTAGTCAATGCGTTTAGCTCCCCACCAACGATCCAGAACTAGACACAGAGGGAAAAGAAACGAAATTAAGTGGTCCTTCCGATGCCTCTTGCCCTACTCGTCTCCTCACCACACCTGCTAACGACGCCATTGGCATGACTGGTGGCCCTTCTTGCCAGGCCCCATTTCCACTCTACCTCACTCTAGAGAGATTAGGGTCAAAGAAGGGAACTTTCAGCTCACATTCCCCCTCCCCCCCAGATTCCCTTCATCTCTCTAGTCGCACACAGGTCATACAAAAATAATGAATAATACATGACAGAAACTGTCTTTTTACAGAGCCAAACACATAATCTCTTAAGAGGCACTTGGCTTTATTAACAACATAACTCTTTAGCAGGGAGCCCAGATGCTAGTTTTGGGAAATGAACAATATGGGTATAAACATCAGTGATCCACACATCTTCTCTATTGCCAGACATGATGACACAGTAACTAAAAATATTTATATAATGCATCATTGTAATCGTAATTCTATTTGTAATTACAGAGAGCACATGCCCAAAGGGCAAACACCACCTTGGGAAGCAAGGCTACTGTTATACATGCATGTGTAATTTTCCACAAATAGTTGTGCAGGGTGTAGGAACTAAAAGCAACATCTGCAAGAGTGCATCATATTTCACCCCCAACTGTACAGATGTTCCATTTTATTCCCCAGCATTCTAGTTCACATACATTCTTAATAAAAAGTCCTTGGGTCCTTTTAAGGCAAAAGCAGGGTACAAATATTGTAAATAAACAAACATTCCTAAGTGAAAATCCATCACACTCAAAAGGCTTTTATACCCTAATACCTCTCTTCTCCAAGATTCCAATCCAGCATTATCTCCTTCTTTTAAACTTCTTTAAGTTTAAACAAAACCCTCAATGCCCTCTAAACTTGGAATGTATACCCAAGTACAAAACCGATTTTGTCACTAAATACATCTTCAAATTTTACATGGAAGTTTTTTAAAAATGCAATCCTATCTAGGCAAGTACATCAATAATTATCAGGATTACAGTAGGGTTAATTTAACACTTTCCTCCCCATCATAACCCCTCCTGTACAACTGTTACTTGCTTTGTGGCAATACCAAATAATATCCCAGCAATATTTGAAATACCCTAACAGCAACAAGAACAATAATAATTGCCCCCCCAACCTGCAAGTAATGCTGTCTGCATTTAAAAAAAAACACATAGATAAGCTTTTAATATACAGCTTAATTTAAAACCATATGGGAATCCAATCTTGGGCTGCAGTTTTTCTTTTAAATCTCTTTCAATGGCTTTTTAAAATTCTACTTTGGTGCAATGTAAGTGTCCTGGTTGTACTACATATGAATGCATCTTTTTATGCTTTATTCAGTGTAATACATTTGCTGGATTTATTAGCATTACAGACATGAACCCAATAGCTTGGCAGAGCCAAAAGACTGGAGCAACACTTCTGTTCTGAATGAATGGTGCAAGTGACACAATATGGCCATGTTATGGTATCCCCATAGAAATCAGCCAAAGAACAAGCATTTTGCTGGCAGCGCAACAAATACTCCACACTTGCAGAATGAACTCATATGACTTGCGAACAGAAGAGTCATTGTTCAGGTGCCAATTTGAATCTGCAGATAATATGTTTGGAAAGGACTGCTAACATTTCTTGAACTGCTGGGGTCAAAGAAGCAGTTTGACACAACTACACTGTAAGATGTGAGGGGCAAACGGAAATCCACTTCCTGAAATTATCAGTGCTCATATAGGCAGTAGGTTCAAATTACTTCAGCCTCATGAATGTATGAAACAATTTTGCTATCGTCTGCTGTTTGAAATAGTTAAAACAGTAAGAACTGAGCATTTAGTACTACAAAAAGTAATGGATGTTCATTTCTTTTTTTAAAAAAACTGTTTAAAATGTCACAGAGGAAAAGCTCTGACTCCAAATGGCCTGATATTACCAAATGAACTGGTTACTGTGCTGGGATGAGCAATACATGGCCGCAGAGCCTGCCTGCAGCCTGACAGCTGCTTTTAACACACAGCCCTTGCATCCCTGCCACTATTGCCAAATATGGGGTTGTGGTGACAGAAAACGAAGTGGAATGAAATTCCATTGCTTTTCCTGTAAATTCGCTGCCATGTCCCTTAGAAAAACAATTCTGCCTCAAATGGAGAAACCAAACCCCATTCCCAGCCTATCTCTGCTACATATGGACTATACACACAAGACAAACCTGAACATGTGAGGAAATGAGGAAAAAAGAAAAAAAAACAGGTAAGAAGGGCACTCACTCTTGACAACCTCATTGGTACTGGTGACTGTGTTCTCGCCTGTGGCTGCTTCGTTCCCTTTCCAGAAACCCCCAAAGTTGCCTGTTGGAGTGGGAGGCGTCACAAGGTCTAGTTCATCCACAAAGAGGGAAGAGTGGCTCTGCAAGGCCTCCGCTAGGCCAAGGAGAAAAGGAAGCAGAGATGAACCCCCTGCGCCCACGGCTGAGAGAACCACCATTCTTTTGGATACAGTTGAGAGGAAAGCGCTGCTCTCACACACTAACCCAGAGCAGCTTCAAGCACACTGTGTGTGTGTGTGTGTGTGTGTGTGTCACTGAGCTACACAGAACAAAATAACATGACCTTGAGGCTGTGGTCAATTCCACAGACTTAGCACTCTCTCCCTTCAGTACTGATGCCTGACTGATTGATTGATTGATTCCTTCAATAAATGCTGCCCCCCTATATAGATATGATATTCACCTGTGGTATGAGATCACACCACAACAACAGCACATCCATGGTGGGCATGTACACCAAGGGCATGTTGTGGTTTCCAGATATGATATGAAACACATCTCAGGCACACGTCAGACAAAAGTACAAAACTTATTTGTATTTCTAGTTAATTCTGCTTAATACAATCTCTTATACTTTCTATAATAATAAGTATCTTTTACAAATCTAACACCCACACGCTCTATAAATAATTGAAAAATAGGTGGAGAACCAAAATATACAGTCCTAAAAGGAAAAGGTGGAGGAGGGGGTATAACTGAACTTTATGCATTTAGTTATATTTCTCTCATCAGTGGAAGAAACAAACAGATATTCCACACTCAAGCTTTTCATTGCCAGAAAGAACCAAGCAAGAAAATTCTTGTTCTTGCCCTCTTCTGACAGAATGAAAAAATACAGAGGATGGAAGAAGAGTCTTCTAATTTTGAACCTGACAGATATATAGTTTCAAATACTTGTTACACTGGTAATAGGCCACCCATATGTTAGAATGTATACTATCTCTTGCAGAATACCAAGTTTTTAAAGTGGAGATGAGGACTGAAGGTTAGAGGGATGCACACAGCAGAATAAAGCGGCTATATAACATCAAATTTCAGGTAATCAGATTAGAAATTTTTATAATATAAAAATTATATAAAATTCCCTATAACTAGAAATCTAGCATAGAAAGGTTCTAGCTCGCCTTTGTTTTTCGAATTTGAATTTGAATTTGCAGGGAGTAAATAAGGCAAAGGAACACATCACCCATTCCATCTGGCTGTAGGAGAGAAGCAAAGCTGATGCCATCCTCTCTAATGAGGTATCAGCTCTATCAAATTCCTCATCACACAAATACTTCCAGTTTAAGCTCAAGATAGGAACTTTGCAACTTTTAAGATCTGACACATGCATTTGCCTGCTTTCCTCCTCCCTTTCCATTCCTTCTTTTTGTGCTATGCGTTTTGAACTGCAAGTCCTAATGGCCATAGATCTTATGCACGCTGCTCTAGGAACCATTTCCGCTCCATTATATTAATAAAAACAATTTAATTAATATAACTATCACATACACCTCAAATCTGAATCACTGCAATCTATGACCTTACTCTGATTACTAGTCCCAGTTAGAACAGGCCTGCATGGGATTTACAAATGTGTTCACATATCATTCAGCAATTGCTTCAGTGGGTCTACTCTGGTTCAGTAACAAACAGATTTAGATATAACCCTACTTACCACCACCCACCAAACATTCAGCTTAAGATGTTATTCTACACGTGTAGTTTTCCCCATCACTGCAAAATAAGGACATGGCTGCACATGCCAGAATTCCTAATGCAGCAGTCTGCGTTCCTTAAAAGAGATATTCATGTCTTCTTCGTGGAACCACATATTAAACAAATAAATAAATAAATAAATAAATAAACAAACAAACAAACAAATAAACAAATGAAATAAATAAATAAATAAATGAAATAATTAAATAAACAAACAAACAAACACCATCACCTCTGCCTATTCCACAGTGCCCCAAATTATATAAATCCATTCTGTTCTGACGTACTGAAGAAACACAAAACCAGTGAATGCAAAACTGTACAGATTCCTTTACCTCTGGGACTTGCTCTTTCATTCCTCCAACAGCCTCCTCTTCCACACCCACAGTCCTCCATGGGACAAAACCAACCTTTCGGCAGTGTCCCCAAAGCTAGCCCATGGCATTCCCCTTACCCAGTGAAGTGGAGGATCCATCTCCCAGGGGATATTTCTGGTAGCGGGGCACTCCAAAAGGAGGCACAGCATGGAACTGTTGGGCCAGCAGAGGTTCCAGACGAGAAGCACAGGGATCAGCAGCATGGAACAAGTTGTAAACTTGCTCGCAGGCTGGACGCATCTGAGCCACTGCAGGGAGAGGAGGAAAGTACCTAGAAATCCTTTCTGCATCAGCAACAGAACAGGAAGACAAAAGGACCTCAGAAGCAGGGAGAAAGGTGGTGCTTACCATCCATGGCGGGCATCACTGTCTTACGAAGTGCAAGGACCAGCCCCAGGGGTGAGCCAAACAAGAAGAAGCCAGACACCTTGAACTCTAACTTCCCAACCAGGCTGGGCCCCTCCAAGTTTTCCACCATTGAGGATGAAGAGTTACTGCTACATCGTGGGTCTCCTTCAGCATCTGAGGCCTGCAGGCTAGCCTGCAGGCTGGAAACAGCGGCAAAAGATTCTGTCATGGCCAGGAGGTGCTCATAACTCTTTCCCACCAAGACTACCTTGCCTATGAAAAATAAATTTAGGGCTAGCATTTTTCATACCATCTACAAGAGTGGTGGGCAATGTCCAGAGGTCAGGGGGCTGCCGGTGCCCACCTCTGTGCACACTCTTCAGTTCTGGAGTCATCTACCACAACAGGCCCTGTTATCAAATAGTGTTGGGGAACAGGGTGTCTCAAACCTTTAGGCTGAACCTCGCCCTCCTAGGATCAAATCCATCTCTTTGGAGTTCACCAGATGGCTACAATCCCCTTACAATGAAACCACTATCTGCTGGCTGCCTAGCTTTTGTCCCCCTACCTTTGAGAAAAATTGCAATGCTTCTCTGATGGCTTAACTACTGGCAGTAAGAGCTCTATGTTGAAACATACTAGCATTTTGGCTCCACGTTTTTGCCCTTGCCCAACACAGGAACATGAGCCCCTGAGACCCTGTCTGAAATTAAGTTCAGCCTCAGCCTGAAAGAGGTTCCCCATCCTTGAAGTCAGGCAGGTGTGCTTCAGGCAATTAAAGACTCTCTTCTTGCTGGTTCTTAGCCATTCTTTCAACCAGCAGGCTGCTCTGCTTCATGACCCCCCTCTCCTGTCCTCTCACCTGGACAGAAATTGAGGCTGCTGCGGTAAAGAGTCGCCCTCCTGTGCCACATGGTCACTGCGTTTCAGGCTAGGTGGAAGCACTCCTGGCTCAGGACTGGCACGGCCCATTCCTCCCAGTACTTCTGCCTTCTCAAGGAGCGGGTCTCGCCCCATGGCATTCTCTGGAGAAAGCAGCTCAGCATTCTGAAAAAAGGATGGAGTTCAACAGGTTCTCCTACTGTAGAGATTCGCCCACTTTTTCTACTATGGGGCACACATTCGTACTTCTTTCAGTAGGAGAGCCCAGTTAGGCGCCAAAACAAGACAAGCCATTGTTTCACCATACCCCTTTGAAAGCCCTTTTTAAAAAAGAAAAACACTTTCAAATCTAGAGGCCACTTGTGCTTGCAGGAGATTCCAGGAAACAGCCAAAAAGTAGCTTTTCCAAGGTCTGCTCAAATTACAACACATATAGTACTACACAGAGAGCAAGGTAGAGGGTAAACATAGTTTGGGCTGCCCACTGCTAGAATGAAATCAGGATCACATCACATTACTTTCATCTCAATTCTGTCTTTTTACTGTTCCCTTAAATCCACTTTGGCAACCATCCCCAACACACACCCTATTTCCTAGAGGGCAAGAGAGGTGAGGCAAATCTTTGGCACCCATAAGGAACTATGTGCTGGGGCTCAGAAACTGACCATGCTCCCACGGCGGCTGCTCCCACGACTGCCGGACCCTCCCGCACGACTATGGCAGAGGGCATCAAAAGCCAGGATGCCCCCAACGCCATCTCCAATTAGCAGGACCTGCAAGAGGAAATGTGAACATGGCGTCAGCATAACCCTCTGGTGACTAACCAGAGGAAGCAGAAGCCTTAGTAACTTGTGAAGTAAGCACCGGAAGATGGGATCCATTCACTGTCTTCTCTCCCGTTCCCTACACAGCTCTTGGGACTGGCTGAGATTGTTCTCAAGAGTGAAGGTGGGCAGCTGTGGGCCTCCAGATATTTTGGGCCTAGAACCCCATCAGTCCTAATCCATACAGCCAATTATAAGGGTTTATGGAAAGCATAAGACGTATGGAAGCCATAATTGTTAATTTCAGCTCAAGAACAGACTCTTCAATCTTATCCAATCTATACCTTGTTAAAAAATGTTACAAGGCAAAAAAAGCTGAATGCTAGAGAGGCCTCTGCTTAGAAGAGACCAGGAGCGATGGTCCAGATCCCACGGGTGCTGTAAGTGCCCAACAGAACACGGGCCACAACTTCCAACGTGCTCAAATGTAGAAACCTTAGAATCTGAGCTTCTGCTGTAAAACCCCAAGCCTTAAGACTGTAAAGAAACACATCATTCTGAAATCACACCTTCATTAAGTGACGGTCTCTATACAGTATTAACTCTCACTGAAGAAATGTGGATATTTTAGCTTTATGAAAGGAAGCAGGATAATAACTCAGAAGTCTCACCACTTTCCTAAGACTGCAGCTGTTCCTTGGGGAAAGTCATGACATCAAATTGGTTTGAATTTTTACGTGAGCTATGCTCTCATTAATTGTAGATTATTTGAACAAAGCTAATAGCAAGCCTACGTAGTACTACTTCCAACTGATATCCCGTTTTCTGATTCCAAATACCTATTGCTCCCAAATCTTGTGAATTCTAGCCCTCCTTCTCTCAAACAACAAAAAAAGAGGAGATGCTTTATTCTCTTTTAAAAGAAGAAAAAGAACAGAACAAGACCATAGCATGCAGATTAAGCTATTTGTTTCAGCTGGAGTATTTGGGTTTCAGAAATTAAAGAGTGTGTGGGTGGATGTGTTCCTTATAACCACGTGTATCCTCCCAGTTATTATTAGACTATCATCAGCCTGTGCCAGTGTAGCCAATGACGAGGGAAAGCAGGAAGTTCAGTTCAAGATCATCTCTAGAACTTCATGTTCTCAAATCCACCCCGTAATGTATTTCTAGATCTTCCCTCTTCCAAGCCAGTCCTCTTTATTCCCGAGTCCTCTGACCTGGCCACAGAAGCCAGCTCCATCAGGGGAATGGATGAAATTGGCATAGGCCTGGTTGGTCCGGGAAATGACCACTGCAACTGCATTCTGGTAATTGCCTGAGGAGGTGGCCAGGAGAGGCAGAGCGGCCAGTGGGATGTGATCCTGGCTACTGGACAGACTGTCGCCATCATGACTGTAAGGACTGAGTCTGGGAAAAGAAGAGGAGAGATATAATCAGGAATCAAGCCTCAGGCCTATGTACTCCCCACATGGTTCAAGCTTTGACACAGAGCTCCAAAAGTGGTTCGTCCCTTTGACATTCAGATCACCTTCTGTGCACACCTCTGGAGCCCAACTGAGGCACCTCTGGCCAGCTGGGCCAATAAAAAAGGAAGGCACTGGCAGTGTACAGTCAGGCCTAAAGCCAACAGCCATTCCAAGAGAAGTGGCGGGACACGTGGTCAAATTCTACCCCAATATCTGAAGTTCCTGAGCATCTGAAGAAAGACATCCAGGGTGCTGAAAAGGGGGAGAAGAATTATCTCATGAAACTGCTGCCCCAAAATCTCCATCCTCCAACCACAGTGCCCTCTCCTGGATATTTTCACTAGTGCACCATCTACATAACCTTCCTGGCCTATTTCTATGTGTGTGTTTTTTTTAAATTTCATTTCTATTCCACTTTTCTCCCATTTCAGGAAACCAAGACATATGTATTTCTATGCATATGCCATCATCAATAAAGGCCTCCTGCTTTTCTGTATAGCACACACCAAACCGAATGGGTTCATCTTCACATTGGATGGTTCTCCATACTGCCTAAACAGAAAAGGCAACATTGATTTTACTGAGCCTCTTCAGACTCCACTTCTTGAAGCTCTGGATCATTAGACACACAAGAAAGGAGGGAAAGCCCAGCCCTCCACAAAATACTGAAGAGTCGGACAGAACATGCTTCCTACTTTGATACAAGAGCGTAGGCGGCAGCACAGATAGGTGGGCAAGGCACCAGGCGCAATGCAATGTGCCCCAAGGCCTCAGGGAAATGTAGGCGGGTGACCGAGTCCAAGGTGGCAGTGAGGGTGTGCACATCAGCCTGCTTGGAGCCAGGCTCTCCAACACCCTGGTCTAGGATGTTGCCACTGTGGAGGATCAGGAACAGCGCATGGATGCGGCATGTCCTGGACAGGTCTTCTGGGCCAGCCTATGGAAAGAGACATTGGAAAGAACGAAGCAAGCGATTGTAGTCGATGGTGGAGAGGTTGCTATCATTCAAGCCACAGTGGGGAACTATACTACATAATTTAGTTAGGGATCTAGAAATACTGTGGATACAGACCCAAAACTGTTTTATAACCACAAGCCATCTTCTGTGGCTGGTTTTGAAAGTATGTTGAAGTAGGAAGGTAGCATGGTGGGGATGGGTTAACTTACCTCTGACGGAATAGGAGCAGTGATCCCATCGCCCTCTGGCTTGGCTACCCCAGCAACATCAACTGCAAAGACCAGAATATTTCAGTGACCAGCAATGTGTAGAAGAGATAGCAACAGCAGGATCGAAAGGGCATGCAAGACAGCAATCAGAATTGGAGAAAGAAAGAGGAAGAATTGCCCTCAAACATCATTGAATGAAGAGGGAGAGAGAGAAACATGTCATCAGAACTCCAAGGAAATCTAGGGTGGTCTTTCCCAACTGTGGGTCCTCTTGTATTGATGGATTTCAGTTTCCAGAAACCTGAGCTAGCATGGTCAATTCTGAGGATTCTGACAGTCATTATCTAGCAAATTTAGAAACAAAAAGTTGGGTACTACTGAGCTAGAAATCTCCACGGCTACATTTATGGTTCAGAAGATAGAACACAACATCTAATAAAAAGCTAACATCATGTACTTTTAGAGTCTTTTTCTTTTCATATCGCAAGTATCTAGACCTTATGATAACAGAGCAAAGCCACAAACTGTTACTTTTCTTTGTTTACTTGTTTTCCTTCTATCTTTTCTCTGCAAAAAACACAGAAAACAGAACATACAAGGTCTAAATATGAGAGCCAGTGGTTAAGGAAAAGAAGGAGGTGGTGTGATATATTAATCATCCCATAAGAGAAGGACAGACACATAGCGCCTTTTAAAAAATCTCCCAGAGCCAACATTTGCCCTAATTTTACACCCTAAGCCTCTGCAGAATTTCGATCAATTGCCACATGAAGTGGGATCTCCTAGCCTGACACACAAGGTCCATTCCACTCTTCATGGAAGAACTGAACTGCACACTTACCAAGCACATCATCTGGCTCACTAGGCCTTTCTAGAGAGTCGAGAAAATCATTCGAGTTCCACTTAGTTATTTCCTTGGCAAAAACGTCATCACTATCGGAGAAATCCTCTAGGGGAAGATAAGTAAGTGAGAAGCAACCACAATATAGATAGCGTGAATATACTGCCCAAATCACTGCAAACAGCAGTCACAAGCCATATACAAATGTTAAAGATATAGGAAAGATGTTTCTTATGTTAGAACATGGGTCCAATACAACTTCTTACAAAAACTGTGCTTCAGACTCTCAGGAAGGTGTCTTTCCTGCTATAGCTATTGCCTGTTAATAAAATAAAAAAAATCCCAAATTCAACACTCCCTATCCCCGTAAGCTACACAGAACACCATGGCCATGGTTCCTGGAGATGATAGGAGATGTAGTCCCACAGAGAGAAAGAGAGAGAATCAGGTCCGGTGAAGGCCTGCACATGTACATATACTGCTGTACAAAAAAGATTAAGGACAAATATTCTGATCCTCCCTCTCTGCTCCAAAAAAAACTATGCTTTGACGGGTCAGGGCAGATTAATCCAAAAGAGAGACAACTTTATACATACACAGTGTAACACTTGTTTACGCATGCCTCTGCAAGCCAACCTCAAACATAGCTGTAGGCACAGTTGTCAAAACCTTTCCACTTCTAACACATTGCTGCCTTTATGACACCTGGAACTGCAGCCATCAGAAACACCCTCTACAAGAACAGGCTGGTTACAGATGGCCCTCTCAGTTCTACACCCTCAAAGAAAAAGGGGCACACACATGTTCCTCTACCCCGTGCTACATACCGTGAGCATCAAAGAATTCATCTTCAGAGCTGTTCTCGGAGTCCCGTGCAATGTTTTGCATCCGCCACTCTGATAAACTGTGAGGAGATGCTGCAGCTGCAGGAGCACATCAAAGCAAAGAAGAGATCTCATGACCAAAAAGGCCCAGATAATTCATTTTGTAGACGTCCAACAATAAGCAGAAATTCTGTCTCCAACAATTTGCCCTCCTTAATCCATTGAAATGGTAACAAAGCATGGAGAAGGCAAAAACAGGTCAACTAAACTTCCTGTAAAGTCATGCACTTGCATAATAGAAGCACTGTCTAGAAGCCTTCACAAAAGCCCTCTCCATCCAAGCAACAATTATCTTAGGCTATGCACAGCTTATTACAGTATTTCTGTGAAGCAATAGGAACAGCATCACCCTTATTTAATGGTGGCCTTCAGCATCCCCAGCTTACCCTACAAATAGAAAAGGGATGTTCAACTGCAGGAAGCCTGTTCCCTCAACCTTAAACCAGCTTCCCTTTGTCTAACACCAGTAAATGGTGAATAACCACACCAGAGGCAAAAAGAACTGTAATTAAAAAAAAGAACTTCGGCAGTCATGCATCATCCAATTTCCTTTAAAGTCTATATAGAAGTAGGCAACTGAGGTCCTGCAGATGTCTTTGGCCTGCAGCTCCCATAATTCTCCAGCTAAGAATGATGGGAGTTGTATGCCAAAGTTATCTGGAGAGCCACATCCATCCACCCTGGTCCATGTCAATGTTGGGGAAGCCTTTTCAGCCTCTTACTGAATTCACTTTCAGATACAGTCTGAGGTCCTGCACTCCAGGGTTTGGCAGATAGGGCGAAGGGAAACCAAAAACCTCAGGATATGCTGGTGTAAAGTTCTTTATGCCAGTAACTAGGTCTTAAGAAAGGTATTTCAACCTTCCAGAGTGAGAAGAGAAAAGCCACAGAAAAAATGGCTAACAAACAGAAGAGAAGAGTGACCTCAGATTCAGCCCCAAAGGCCTAAGGTTCTTCATCCCTGAACTACGTGAATGTATACATGGGTATGAATTCCATTCATCCAATTAATGATTTTTTAAAAAAAACCTCACAGTTTCTAAAGCATAGGATAATGTGTCGCAAAGGATGAAGGAAGGAGAACAAATGCACTGTATCACAGATAGTATTGGCTGGCTGGAATCCTATTGGCATAGCTCGGTGCCCATAAGGCTAAAGACATCATTAACCTCACAGGCAAAGAGCTGTCCAACAGGATGTTCCCAATTATCGCTTTCTAAAATATACACGTATACGTAGAATGTGGCCACAGCAAAAGGAGAACATGGCTGCTTCTGCTGGAGTTTCCAACATAATGTGAGGAGGAAAATGCCTCCTTGACAATAACTTTATCCCGCCCCTTCCAAGCATTTTGGTTTGCTTCCACTTGATATAATGATTGCTTACCACCATGCTGTGAAGAATATGATGAGCGAGAAGATGCTGACCACTGCTTGGCAAATGGATCATCTGGAGAGGAATCAGGGGCTCTTAGGCTGTCCACTCTATCCTGCTTCTCACAGATACCTATCTCAGCCGGGTGCTCAGGGCTGGGCACCACGGGGCCTGCATCAGGCTCAGCACAGATGGCCATTTTCTGAGCCAGCATGCGTGCAGTCTCTTCTTCCAGCCTCCGGATGTCATCCATGGTGAGATTTATCCACTCATCCTGCCAACACCAAGCTTGACGGTGTGCCCGAAGCATAACTTTTCGGAGCCCTGCAGTACACATACGGGTAGTCAAATCCCAACTTTCCCCACAAGCCCCTAGAAAACCATATCTTCTCACACCTTATTAATTAATTGTGTTTGTTTATTGTGAATGAATGAATGAATGAATGAATGAATGAATGAATGAATGAATGAATGAATGAATGAATGAATGAATGAATGAATGAATGAATGAATGGGCTTAGGCCCCAACTCATTCAGGGAAAACATTAAATTTTGTACCATGAAATGTTTCTTCCGCACAGTGAAGGAAAGCATTAAAGCCTAATTCAGATTTGTAAGAGATCTGTAAGAAAAACTAAGTTGGCTGAATTGCACATCTTCTCCCCACTCATGTGCAGATTTGCCAAGAGCCTTATAATTTCCCATCTAGCATAATCCATATAGTCCAGAAAAGGAACTTTTCCAAGCTCCAGAATTTCTTCCTTTATTTGGTCTTGGCACTGCTCTTAACCCAAAATAAGCTGAACATGGGCATTGTCCTGTGCACAATTTGATTAGACAGTTTATGGAGGGATCTGGCCTCTCTTGTCAACTTTGTTCTAGATCAGTGGTTCTTAACCTTGGGTTACTCAGGTGTTCTTGGACTGCAACTCCCAGAAGCCTTCACCACCAGGTGTGCTGGCTGGGGTTTCTGGGAGTTGCAGTTCAAAAACACCTGAGTAAACCAAGGTTAAGAACCACTGTTCTAGATGATGCAAGCTCCAGCCTAACAGCCAGATTTCTAAGGCGGGTGGGTCCTAAACCGTCTCTGGAAAAGTGTTTTTTTTTGGGGGGGGCACACTTCTCAGAACTTCCAAGCCATTGGGTCATGCTGGCTGGTGTGTTCTAGGAGTTGTGGCTCTAAAACAGTACTTTTTTTAAAAAAAGCTCTGCCAATTAATAAACACTTCTGGTGTGTTCTACGAGTTGTGGTTCTTTTAAAAAAAAGTACTCAAAAAAAAGCTCTGCCAATTAATAAACACTTTAATCTCCAGGACTGTCCTTTCTCACTAGCAGACAAATGCAGAAACAGGAAACTCAATTATTTTTTCTCAGGCACTTGGAAAAAATTACCCAGACTACAGAAATAGCTTTAGGGTCAGATCTCACTGTTAAGGCAATATTTCTTCCTCTTAAAAAGCATGCCGAAGTTTCAGAATTATGTGCCCAAGACATCACAGATGCCAACAAAGTATTGCTGTCTCTCTACTAAACAATTACAAAACAAATGCAGGCCGATTTGCCAAAGCTCATAATCAGACAGCTTTTCCTCTCAAGGATTTGAAGTCAGCTTCCTTTAATGCAAATTCTACCAGGGATGCTTAAAAATGCTGATTGATCACTGGGCAGTCACACTGAAGGTGCTCTGAAGACATTAATATAAAAGGGAGTTCAGCGGTGAAGGATTATACAAATGCTATCAAAGGGGAAAGAATAGGTAAAGTGTCTCTGCCACCCATAATTGGAAGGTTTACCATCACCATCCTCTGCTTGGAATTAATGCAGCCTGAACTAACCAGTTCCCTGGACCCAAATACATTTGTCTTGATGGAGAAGGACTACAAAATTTGGAAAATGAGAAAGATATCGCCACACACTCACCCACATCATGGATGAACTGTTCGATCTTGGACTGCATGCCCCAGTATCGAAACTCCACCTTACAAAGCTTATAGGCACACATGAAAGGCCCAGAAACTGCATTCTCCAGCCAGTCATCTCCCAGAGGCCCGCGTCCAGTTTTGACAGAGTGATAAAGCCGTGGGTCTTCCTCTGCCTTGTATTCACTGGGTGAGATGGGGTCCCGTACAATGTCAATAGTATCTGTGAGTGAGTTGAAGAGAGGATGAACTGAAAGAACGCACTAGGTATTTCCTGGAAACTACGACTGGCCTCCCTTCCAATTTTTCAACTCTCCTTTTGTCTCATGTAACAGAGTTTGTTCACACTCATGATGAAGAGATTCCTTTGCTCCTATGGCAGTCCATAACTCTGTATTTCCCTGCCACCAGGGAGCCCTCTTCCCCCCACTTTACTTCAAAATTCTAATTTTCTGCTTTTAGTAAAGCCACAGCAATGCTATGAACTAAATGGCAAACTTACATCTGAATCATCCTATCTCAGAAACTCAAAAGGTCATCAGATATCCCTTATTAGTCTCTTCTATTCCACCACAATCCACACTCCAGTTTAACTGAGTTTAAATACTTAGCATACCGTTACTTTTATTATACAGTATTTTCCTCTGTCTTTCTACAAAAGGAAAACAGAATCAAGAAAACCAACACATGTCACTAAAAATGAAATAAACAGTTAAGATGATGTTAAAAAAATTGCAAGATGTTAAAAATTGCAAGATGTTAAAAAAAATTGCAAGAACCAATGACATCAAAGCAGTTCTGAAAGGTAATCTGAAGATGGGCATTTTCATGCCTTTCTTAAAAGTGGCAAGAGTGGGAACTGAATACAACCTGAGGACTCTGGGAGCAATCTGGGAGAAAGCCTTCTCCCTGTTAATACTCCCTACGCACTTTGTATAAAGCAAATGGACACTCACCCACAATCCTTTGCCTACGCTCCGCAGAACTTAGGTTGAAAATATTGGTCTGCTTTCCAGCATCTGGTCGGTAATAGGTCTCGATCTCAATAGAAAATTTCTCCACAAAAGGGCAGGTGTATCTGTAGGAGGAACAGGAGGAAATGACAGCCCTCCCTGACCTAGTGTACAAGGCCCATTCCACCTCTCTATCCTCCTTTCGATGTTCCACCATTTACCTGGTGCGTGTGTAGGGATAAGCGTTCCAGGATTCTTCTTCCACCTGCAGAGCTGCCTTGGGTAGGAGGGCACGGAACCAGCTGGGGATGTGAGAGCCCACGTGGTAGATCTTGTGTGTATACTGACCACTCCCGCCTGGGCCGTCGCTGTAGGGCCGGTTGGAGAGGATCTCAACCCCACTGCCCTCGCCGCTCGACTCCTCACGGCTCTTCTTCTGGGGAGCAGGAGAGCCAGCCCTGCTCAGCCTGTGCCCTAGAACATCTCACGCCCCGTGATCCCCATATCGCACTCTTGCATTCCTTGGCCCTGCTCACCGTCTGACCCCACAACCCTGCCAACGAGAGGGCCTTATCTTGCTGCAAGGACACCTCTCTGTTTTCCACGCCTGGCATGCTGATGTTACCTGGATCATGTAAAGCTGAGCCACCTGGTACTCGTTCAGGCTCATGGGCAGCAGGATGTGATATTCCTTGATCAGCATTTTGGCAATCAGGCCCTATGAGTTGAGACAGAGCAGGGGATAAGGCTGTAAAGCCAAGCTAGAGGTCAGAGCATTTGTGTAATGGAAGAAAGGCTGTCAAGGTCCAATCACAGGTACATATGGATCAGCAGGGATGGCAAATGCCACCTGTCACTCTCCCTCCTAGGATTCTCTATTCCCTTTGAACAAAGCTGTGCGCTTCACAGCAGGGGCTCCCCCACCTATGTATCCTTATGAGCTCTCTATGTTGCAATGCAAGTTATTTTGAGCTGCCTTGGTCTTAAAACAGGCAATTAAGACCTTCCCCTGGTGAAAGTAAGAACTACTAAAATTGACTTAGAATTAAACTGTTCTTCTCTGGTGTTAGGAAAGTGAAACGGCTGGACAATTGTGGTCAATATCCTTTGGGCACATGGTGTGACTCTTCCTGGGTAACAAGTGTTCTAAGAGAAAGAGTGACATCTCAGACCATGTTTACACTTCCTCAAAAGGGAGAGAAGCTCGGAGGAAATCCACATCTGACCTTCTTTCAAAATACAACCCACTGGGTACGTTTCCATAGCAACTGTGGGCTAATGTGAGGCTAGGGAGTTTCAACATGTTGCAAAGGAAATGTGGACAGGGAGGCGGGGAAGTAAGGGAACAGCAGCACCATTTTGACACTGCTCTAATCCTCAGTGTCCTTTCGGTGCTCTTACCTACCTTTGCAACTTGTGGATCTTGCTGCCACTCCTATGGGCAAGGCACCCTACATACTCCTTTAGAGGTGCATCTTGAGGACAGCAAACAATAGCTTCTTATTGTTCAGGGCTTGTTTTTCCCCCCACAGATGGGGTTAATCCACTTCCCTCTAGAGCAGTGGTTCCCAACCTTGGATAATCCAGGTGTTCTTGGACTACAACTTCCAGAAACCTCAGCCAGCACATCTGTTGGTGACGGCTTCTGGGAACTGCCATCTAAGAACACCTGGGTTACGCAAGTTTAGGAACCACTGCTCTAGAGCAAGGTTACTGGTGAACCTTTGGCCCTCCAAATATTTTAGGCTATATATTCCACCATCTGTTACAACTGGACTGAGTGGACCTGCAGGAGAAACTGTCCGGACAGCCAACAGCTTCACCATCCTGTTGCTGAGCATGGAGCTGATCACGTCCGTTTGTGTATCTTGCCACATTAATGCTTCAGTTCTCAATCCCTATTAGAATCAGAGATTCACAGAATTTCAGAGATGGATGGAAACCCAACAGGCACTCTAGTCCAGCCTCTGCTGAGGCAGGAAATTCATAGTCAGTCATCCAACTTCTGTTTAAAACCCTCCAACAAGGGAAACTCCATCACCATCCATGACAAACCACTTCATTATCAAACAGCTCTCATTAAGCAGCTTGCCCCCTGGGTAAACATCCACAGAAAAACATGTCCTGTCTCCATCATCAGTCCATACCATCACTGATGCTTTTGGCAATGGCAGTTCTTTCCCTTTACACTCTTTGCTTACAATTTGCTGAGGACTTAAAGAGTCACAATCTTTTTATGTCCTATGCCTTTTTGCAGCTGCACAACAGGCAGACTCTCAACATGACTGCTTTGTCCATGTGCTGACTGGGAAAACGATGAAATATCTCTCTGTCATGAAGCTGTTATGAGAATGGCACCATAGCCCCTTCCCCCCAAAAAATCACTGAACTTAGTCGTAAACCACTCTCACATTTATTTTCTGTCTCATGCACATCCTGTTCTTCTTCTCAACTCTTAACACTTTGCACCAGTTATCCATATAACAGACCTGTAGGTCAGGCAGAACTGTTATCCCTATGTGTAGATGACTGGGATTGTCTGGATCACAGCTTACACTTTTGAAAAACTCTACCTCACATCAGTCTTTGCAAATGCTTACACTTGATACTCTTCCTGCAAAAGAGTTAGAACTAGATTTTCTTGTCATTCATTTGTCGCACAGACGGCAAAGCAGAAGTTAGCAAGAAGTACCATAAGTGAGAAAAGCCTGTAAGAAAATGGTCATGTTTCAGAAAACACTCCAAGGGAGATCAAAGAGTCAAGTGAAGGTGATACTGTCCTCCTCCAAAATCACTATACATTCAATATTTGTGAGGAAACTTCTCAGGGTCAAATACCTCAACCAATTTAAGACACTGAGTACAAAGCCAAATGCTTCCTCTCAAGCAACACAGAGAACCACCTTCATGCACTGTTTTCATTTTGAGCAGCAACGCAACACCAAATTAAGGGAGAGATGGGAATTCAGACCGAGTCATAAGATAAAATATCCTATTCTTTACCCTTGACAAACCAACTCATGTTTAATATGAATGAAGACCAACTGCTCCCATGAATGCACGAGGGAGACCATTCCAGAAATAAACTCCCTTATAAAGCCATGTCCAGCGGCAGTAGTTTCACATCCAAACATTCCCATGTCTCAGCCACAAGTCACTTGGTTTGCTACGTATTTAACATGCATAATTTTATCTCAAATAAGACTTCTTCCTCCAGCTTTAGCTATCGAAATTCCTGCAAACGCACACAACACACCCACACATCCTTTTTCAGAACATACTTTTGTTCATCTAGGCCTAATAAATGCCAGCAATTTAAGTGGGCTATTGCAAGAAAGGGACAAAGCTAAGGCTCAGGAAAAAAAAAGAGCAGTTACTTGGCAAACATGTGAAGGACTGGGCTGCACAAATATAAACTGCAGCACACCCACTTATTAGGAAGAAATGAATGTACCTCTGGGTAGCACATGAACAGGATTATTGTTTGTACTGTACAGTCTTTGAATAGTTTAGCTTATGTTAAAATACGGTTTGCATTTGTCCTTACATTTCATAGTGGATTTTTGAAGGAATAAACAATGAACGGTCATAGTTCATAAAACATTTTTGCCTTAAGAAACCAGCCTGAATCTACACTCACCTAGTACGCACACCAAGCTCCGGCTTCAATAGATTTCCCTTGCAGGAAACATTGCTGTATTTTTTTTCCCCTGGCAGACCTATTACACCTTTAGAAAGCACAGATGGGACAGAAGTCAGCAGGTGCAATTTACCCTACCACTACACCTCCACATTTGAAAAAGCTTCAGCTCGCCAGTTCATGCTCAGAGGACAGCCTTTAAAGGCACAGGAGCCCTGCCAGGAAAAAAAAAAGGGTGACAACCTGACTGTCAAAGCAATCTCAAGCGTTTGTCACCCTGTCTGAGGTTCAGCTAAGGCCAGGCTTCAAGGCAAACAACTCCAGCTTATGCCAGAGCCAATGAAAACCAAGCCTTCCCCAGACTGTGAAGAAGAGAGAGGGGAAAACCTCTCCTGAAGGTTTGGAGGAGAGGTGGGGCTGGGACTCTCCTTGCTTGCCACCACATGCCTTCCTTCAGACAAACGCCCCCTTCCTATTTACCATGCTGGTCTAACGTTAAGGAATGAAGAACACACGCACACAACAAGGAAGGTGGCTTATAGTGACCTAGGGTCTCGCTCCCGACCTACATGAGCACAAGCGGGTAAAAGTCGTGCTGGATCACACGGGTCCACGTTCAGGCCCTCGGCGGATCTCTTCACCGGCCATCCTACGCCCCTTCGTTCTGCACCCCCCTCCAGCCCCAGGGTTTGATCGGTTCTGCCCTCCCGGGGCGCCTTCCCTCCCGTCCTCTCCCTCCATGCAGCGCATGCTTTCCCCGGTTCTCTTCGCCCCGCGGCTATTGCTCGCCCGCGAATATTCCCGCCCGGCTCCCCATCC